TTTTAATTGGTCCCCTGATTCAATTCAGATTTGGAGATTGGCCACTGAATTGGGCCAAATCTCCTCCGAATCTAATCACCACCTGAAGCTTCACGTAGCCCTACTGAGGATACTATATTTAATTAGGCCCATAAAGATCCATTCATCCTTGTATATGGAACCTTAGTTTAATGCACTCATAGAAATCTTTCGTGAAATAAGAGAAAATTAAATGGAAGAAGTTTTGCTATTTTTAACAAGCAAGCAGCATCTCTTCTGCAGTTTGACTGAGAGATGTCAAGAGAGATTATTTCTTGCCTCTCCATGCACTGGTACACTACTCCTGAGCATTTCAATAAGACAGGTTTCAGTGAGAAAGGAGTACCACTGAGTAGGGTCAGTTAGGCCCAGATCCTGACAAGACAATCATATAGATAAAGCTTTTCATCTTTACCATTCTATTGGTAGTATCTTAACTCCCACATTTAAGTTGTTTGCAAAATTGAGTGATAAGTTTGTATTTAATTTTGATGATATTCATATGGGGTTTTATGAGTTTATATTCAGATTTTTAAAGCCAGAAAGAACCAATAGTCTAACATCCTATATATCATAGAGCATTACATTTCACTCAAGTACCTCCATGGTAAGTCCACTAACTCATATTTGGCTAAATTATATCTTCCAGAATGGGATCTAAACATGATCTAAAGCCATCAAGAGATGAAAAATACATTTTGGGGGGCAGTTTCTTCCAACAGTTTATTACCCTAACTGACAGGGAAAAAAAACATACAGCCTGATGTTGCAAAATTGGGCTAGTGGATGACAGCCAAGAAATGGCTGAGCGTAAATAAAACAGTCTCTTTTCATTGCTCAAGAGCAAGGTTTCATAAGAAAAATAGTTACAGTTTGAGATTAATTTTTAAATGATTTCAGTTTTAATGATCTAAGCAGCTTTAGTACATTAGGTAAGGATGGTTTTTTTAAATATAAGCTAAATCTTCTACCACTGCCTCAGAGCTTATGCACATGAAACCCCCAATAACTTCAATAGGAATTTCAGCTGAGTGAAGGTTGAGCCAGCAGTGCAGTGTTTGCCTCTGTGTTATTTATATGTTGTCATTGTCTCTTTAGAGAATTTAACAATGATGGAAGGTCAAACTATAGCTGCTCTGGGTGTGGACCACGCTGAAGCTGATGGAGAGTCTGAGAAAGGAGCACCTGCAGAGCTGGGGTTTAAGGAATTAGATTGTTCTGGGTTCTTTTCCTTGTATGAAAAGACCTAAGATAGAGGGACCAGCTGATGAATTCCTGACTCTTGATTCACTACAGTAGTTTTTTAAAATACATTTCTTCCAAGTAAAAATATTTCATTAAGTGTTATTTTGTTCCAAGTATGAGACAAACCAAAACTAAATCTCTAACTTGGAACAAACTCATATTATGGTGTGTGAAATAAGAATTCAAACATGAATCTTAATGTTGCAAATGGATCTTGCCTTAAATAACGGGCTGAACCCAAAACCTGGACACAAACGCTCCTGAGATCTAAGGAGTTCAAAGTTGAAATCTAGATCCAGATAGAGCGGAGTTTTGCTAATGTTAAGTGAGACTAATACAATGTATGGCAACATTTCCTACAAGCATCCTAAACATCATTCATCCCTGTGCATTTTCATCTTAAGCAGAAACAGGGATTTCAATTCTAATATAGGCTGGTGGTAATATAAAGTCCTGTGCTTTTGACCATGAAAATAAAAGGTAGATAAGTTGATTTCTTCTAGGCTAGTGTTTTCCATCTTTTCTATGAAGTAAAAGGGCATGAAAGCAGTCCGACTCATGGTAAAATAGGTGACTAACACACCAAGACTACACACTGAATAAAAAAGAACCAAGAAAAACAGCTTGTGTGTGTATGTGTGTGTGTTGAATTACATGTAAAACAAGTGAAATTAAGCTGTAATGAGCTGGATTCTTACCAAGCTGAAATTTAGCAAAGCATTTAAACGTGTGTGTTTAATGCTTTTCATGAAAAGGATACTTTGCTGAACCAAGGCCTGAGCGAGTTAGTGTATAGTTCATCTTGAAAGCTCGGCCAAATTCACTGCTGGTGTCAACATGTACAACTCTATCAGCTCCACAGACTTGTACCCACTGACTCCAGCAGTGTATTTGGGACACACTGTTTTTCATCTTTCTTTGTCTGACCAGACTTTTGTAGTTACAATTTTCCTATCCTTTGACTCAGCCATTCAATCAGTGATGAAAGAAATGTCACACTGAGTTGAAAGAAGGAATTGATCTGTGTGATTCCCTGCTGCCCTCTTCCTTTCAGTCCTTTGGGTCAGATAAAAGTAGTTACAAGCAGCAGATGTGAGAAATAGATCGTTATTTGTAATTACTAGCTACAGAAGACATCACAAATCGCACATCCCCTTAGAAACTGAGGGGACAACTGTCCCCTGTGAATGTAACATTTGTGAGTCATTACTTTTTTTCTGTTTTGCTAAATGCATAAACAAGACAATTCAAAGACTGAATGAATTTGCCTGCAAAATAAAAAAACAAAAAAAGCCATCCATATCATCAGATAGTGTCACAAAAAGCTGTGTAACAATATGAAATCCTCATGAGCCTGACAGAAACCCGACAGTCTACAGATTCTGAAACTCACAATGCTTATGAACAAGATCCTCTGTAGCAAGGCTAAAACTGATATCATGTTGTCTGCTTAGCAGCCGAAAAAAAAAGTGCAATAATTTCAAGCCTCTTTCCACATGGTTTGATTTTCTTAGTCACCATTTCATCCCGTGTTTCATACCGTGGGGTTATAGCAAAGAGCTGTGTTGGCTTCTAAGAGGGTCCTCATTTATTTGCTTGGCCTGTCCAGAAAGCGGAGTCATTGTGTTAAGGAAAAAACCCAACAAACTGAAGAAACGAAAACAAACCGCGCGCGCGCACACACACACACACACACACACACAGAGAGAAAAAAAGAGAAGAAAAAGAAAAAACAATCCCCAAAACCCAGAGTCATTAACTGTGACGCAGCCAGTGGGAGGAGGAGTGTTTTGAAAGCTGTAATAACGCCTTCCCCAGAAACTGGTCTATTCGGAAGGAGGAGAGGAATGAAGAAGCTCAGCTAAAATGATGAAAGAAATTTGCAGTCTCTTTTATATATATTTTTATTCTTCTGTATCTGGAAAAAAAGAGAGAGAAGAAAGTGTCAATGCTGCCTTTTCCGCCCAGTGTCCGAGGAGCAGGAATCTGGGAAAGAAGAAAAAGGGTATCAGTTTAGACATCCTTATTCCCTCCAAATTGCACAGCCTTGCTTAATTTCAAAAAGGTCACAATGGGCACTGCAGCATTGACCTTTTGCTTGCTTGATTTAGAGCAACGTGCCCTCCTGCATACAGCGGGGCAACTGTCCTCCCACTGAAATCAACACAAGTTTGATTGCAACAGGGTCAGATTCAGGCTCTGTGCAAATCATTTTAATATTTTTCAGTTTCCAGCACTCTGACCACCCTTGCTTAGCAGCCATTTCTGCATCTCTTTGACTGTAAAATGGGCATATGTATATCTATGTGGGGAGTGAAGGCTCTCCACATGAGAAATGCACTGTAAAAGGCTCCATTTCACGGAGAAGCAATGGCTTGCAATAAGAAGATTCAGTGCACAGCTTCATCATATATGGGTAGCTGCCTAACATCTCACACAAAGCATTTAGTTTATGCACTTTCTGAATTCAGAGTAAATAAAAAGCCAGTTTAGCAGAGTGGATTTAAAGCACTAGCTTGAATTGGATCACAAATGTGAATGAGTTTGGTGGCTGCATTCTAATCTCTAGAAAATACTTGTTCACAGCCCCACATAATTCAGTATACCGTCAGCCTCTTGTCTAGTACCACATGCCAGATGTACACAAACGTACATAAATGTACATGCCAAGATGTCCATATGTACAGAGATCTGCATAAAAATTAAGGTATGTTGGTACCGTTGTGTGGTTAAGTTTGTTTTGTTTTTGTTCACCTTATAATTAAATTAACCAGAGTCTGTTAGGTTCATAAGCATTATATTTATGCCTGAATTACCTAAGTTCACAGGAGATACATTTCTGAAATCACCAGCTCACAAATGCAAGATACCTTCTAGTACCTTCACCACAAAAAAAAACAAAAACAAAAAAACAAAAAACAAACCTTCCAGTAGCAGAATAGAGTGAACATTGATTTTTCATGGTACTTTATGCTATTTTTTCAGCACAGCACTGGTACCTATTTTGCTGTGGGCTTATGGTAAAGAGGGGCATACATGAACAAGTTCTTTGAGGGAGATTGCTCTTTTTAGACAAAATAGAACAAACATTGGTAGATAAGGTTATTCTATTAAACACTGAAAGATTTGAATTGTATATTTGTCTTGGATAACTAAATCATTGGTTTTTCTCTGCTCCCACCATCTCAGAAACCTCAAATGATGAGCTAAACCTGATAGAAGAGCTAACTGGGCAAATAACAACTCAAAGGTTCAAAAGTAAAGTGTGCTGAACCAAATTCATCCCTGATGTAGTAACTCAGTTCACTTCACTGGTTTCAATGGAATTATACTGCACATGACTGTCCAGACTGAACTGCTCTCCCTGGAGATGTTTTGAAAAATCAAGAAGCATTTTTCTTTATTGCCAACAAAATAGAACACTTATCCAATAGCCAATGACCCTGCTAGCAGCCTTCCTGGAAAACTGCAGGTTAATTAGACAAGGGTCAAGTGAGTTTTGAGATGTTTAGGCTCCTGTGAATAACCAGTATTTTCAGCATCTACCCATATCAGCTAGATGAAGTCGATGGGTTGGATAATTAATTCTATCCAATAAAACCCATCTCACATACAGTTTACATATACTGTAATCTCTTCTTGCTGCAGGAGTGACTCTGTGCCACATTTTTTTTCTCTGTCATCATCCATAAAGAAGACAGTGTTTTCTTTTAGGCAAAGACCATGGGGTTTGCAACCTTAGGTTTGCTTTCCTGACTACATCTGAGACAAAAGATATTGTGTCTGCGGAGTACATAAAACACAGCAGCCGTTGCACAAAGTACCTGTCCACAGATATGTCTCATACTCTTTTATTGTGCACACAACACAGAGACTTTTCATATTATAATGTTCTGTGAGTTGCTGAATTGATTTAAAAATAAAAGAAAACCTTGATACTCCACCTACCAATGTGATTCCCAAGAATGTACAATTGAGAACTAGGCTTCACTGGGTTTCTAAAGCAAATTACACCTCCAGATCCACTGAGAACATTGTATAATGTCTAACAACAACATCATATGTCTCCGTCGCTTCCTATATCTAAAGGAGCTCGATCTGATTTACAAATGTTAACCTGACCTCATAACAGCCCTGTAAGGAGCTTCATTACCCTCATTTTAAAGGGGGGCTACTAAAGTACACAAGGTTAAGGGCATCATTTAGCAGAAGGACTGAGCCCGCATAAGGCCAAGTGAAGTCAAATGAAGCTGTGGGTGTTCAGCTCTTATTTTGGAATATCAGGCTTTAAATGATCTGCTTATGGTCACACAGTAAGTCTCTGGCAGAGCTGCAAGCAGAAACTACTCCTGTGCTAGTCTTTAACCACAAGACTAACTTTTCTTCTCCACTCACTGGAAGGAAAAAATTCCCCATATTTTGAAAGTTCTCTGTGGGGAAAAAGAGTACTTATTGCTTTTCATGTCTATCCACCTCATCATGAGCTACTCTGGCAACCAAATATCAGCACAGGTTTCCCTCGCTTTATGTGGGTTCTGTATATGCAAATTCACTCTTATGCAATGACCCTTCTTATACCAAAAATTGTTATATTCAAGGTAAATTCACTCTTATGTGATCACCATGGTGGAAGCCCTCAGTCAGCTGCTTTGTGCAGTGCATGGTGGGAGTGATGCACACCAAAATATAGTCTCCTGTGTGCATCTGTGCTCCGCATCATTGTCTGCAACTTGTTTTTTCTGTAGTTGCCATCATCATTATGGCTTCTAAGTGTCCCGCTAGCTTATCCAAAACAAAACTCCGGTGATGTGGAGTCTGACACTGAAGATCCTTCATCATCTTCTCTTCACACCAACTAAACATTCACCACCACCCTGTGCTTGTGTGTACTGTCTGCTGTTGGTGAGTACCAAAATTGTCTTGTAAAAGTGGTAGAAATGGGGCTGGGGGTCAGTACAGTCAAGGTCTTGGAACATATCCCTATTTGTTACATTGTAAAGTGGGTTCCCTTTAAGGAAATTTGAGTTATGCATCATTTTCCAGGAACGCATGTACAGCATAAAATGAGGAAAATCTGTATCATATTTGCTTAGCACAGAGAAAACCAGCACAAACAATTGTTTTGCCTTTGGAAGGATACTTTTGGGTGAAGCAAATAGTTTGGCTCATTAGGTGGATATCTCTTTGCATACAATATGGCTTTTCTAACCGTGTGGAATCCAAAAACTACACTAGACCTGGAAAAAGTTTTGGATTCGCACTCATTTCAAATTGTTTTTAGTGCAAACATTAGCATAAATTGACAGAGACCACTAACAAAGAAAAAAAACATACAGTATTCAACATCCAGCACAACTTTAAGCAGGAAAAACAGAAATAAATTTCACTTCACTGTCAGAAATAACCTTATATATATGTGCCTGTGTCTTAGATTTTTGTCAAATTGATTTTTGTCCTTGCTGACTTTAGATCTGGTTTTTGATCACTATTAAAAATATTAAAATGAGATAAAACTTCTGTTGTGACTTCCTTTGTTCTCCATTCCATAACAGTCCTCAACTCAACCACTTCCAAACTGGACAGGGTCACTATGCCTCAAACCTATATTAATAGGGCCTTCTCAATGACAACAAATGCCCTTGTGGACAAATTCAAACCATGTCCCACATTGTAGACTCACGTCCATTTACTGTGCTGTCTGGTGGCCTTCAAGTTCTTCACACTGGTGATGACATGGCCTTAAGATGACTGAAACAATATGCTGAAACCACATACACTAAATAAAAGAAATACTAGTGCAGACTTAGAGACAGCAGCCTAATAATAATTGCATCTCCTCTACCAATTTGAAATGTATATTATGGTATTTTCACCTAGTTCGCCTTTAAGTGTATTCTTCATAAGGTTTTTAAGTGTCTATTTGGGACAATTTACTGAAATATATATCTTACTGTTCTATATCTGCCTCCATTCCTTCTACGGACTATGCAACTTACCATGAGGCTGACTGAAGATCTTGGAAAACCAGTGATTAACCAGTGATTAACATTCATGCCTCCCTGACTAAACAAATATCAAAAAGTCTTTGAGCTTACAAGTATTAGAACTTGAAGTATTTGGTATCAATTATGCCTGTCTAATTCTAACTTGGGCTATCTGCTCCCATGTACAGTACAGATATAGAACTGCATAGTCATTCAGAGTTGAGATGAGAGTTCAGACTGACTCAGAAAGTAAGCCTGTTATGTGCGACTCACTAGGCACATCTATATGTGCATTAAGACACTTTCCCTAATGTGCATGAAATTTAGTACCTCCAGGTGCCTATACACTATATGTAAGTGTGGAGGCTACTCCGACGTGCTGGAATTCCAGCGCATCAGAGCAGATTTGCTAATCCAGTCTGCTGGAGTGTGGCAATTGCTGTGCTCTAACAGCCTCCTGCATCATGTGTGAACCTCCCTCTGCACTTAAAATCTTGGAGCCACTCTAATTAAAATGCCCCTCCTGCCACCCCAGAGCACATGTAAAACTGCCCTCCAATGTGAGGCACATTAGTCTTCATATCTCAATGCACAGTAACACATGCACACGGTTTTTAAGTGATGTTTAGGCTAGTGACAGAAGTTACACATAAACCAGTTTAAGTGATCAGAAACTGGTTTAAACCTGTAACAGAACAGAAGTTCAGTGCACATAAACCAGATTCAAAATGGCTGAAACTGGTTTAAGATAAACCTGATTGAATGTAGTATCAGACTTAACTGATCTGAGTCAAACTGGTTTATGAAACTTCTGTCCCAGGCCCCCTCCTGGTTTAAGTTAAATCACAGTCCTCCAGCATCCCAGCATGCTTTTCAGCTCTGAGCTAGGCTGTGCTATCTGCTCCAGCAGAGAAAGGTTGCCCTTCATGAGGCA